CMWMCTACTAGTATATGCTTTACATTAAAAATTTGTTGATAGTACCATGTTTTTACATTTTTCTCCCCCTTAAACTCCCTTATTCCAGAAGGACGCACAATTCCAGTCGAATAACGACTATTTTTGTACATTTTATTCTATTCGACTTCCATGATTWTTACTAGTAAAATCACKGTTAATTTTGAAGCCAAATATTCTAGTACTGGCCCTACACAGATCTACTAGTTTTTGGTCACTTTTTCCACTACAAACAGCTCAATGAGGTAAAATAAGCTAAACACAACAGCTCTGGAAAGGCTTCTAATGAGATCCCCTTTGGGGAAAAGCTTCTTATTAGTATTGGGAACAGCCCCATGTGTCATTGTTACATGATTAGGGGCCTGGGGGGAGGCGATTCACCATTAACAGCTGGTATGGCCAAAATTGGCCGGTTTACAAGACCACCTGCTGGTTAGAAAATAGGCCAGATCTTTATCAAAAATCAACTTTAGACCACCAGACTAAGCGCCCAGACCAAGATGATACAATTACTTTGTGATCCAGGTCATTGGGATGCTTAAGGATGCTGTGGCGGCTTAGAACTGGTCTGCCAAAGGTAATAGTAGTGGGTGGGTGAAAATTGCTCGTTAATTTTGGCTGTAATTTTATATTGAAATAACTCATACTTCCTCCGGTCCAATATATGTCATTTTAGCACCTTTACTACTGAAATAAGGTCAATATTTGGGCAATTTGACTGCTTCTTTTTTATTACATTGATCTTTCTTAATACTTTTTGAATGTGTTATGAGAACTTATAATGTCATACCAGCAACAACAATAATGGAATAAGCTTTCAAAAAAGCTTATTTTTTCTTGTTATCAATATGAAAATACCGTCAGTTGGGTTGTTCTAACAGTCATTTTGACATGCCCCTACTTGCACATGATACTAGCTAAGAGTGACACATTTTCAAGGCTGTAATTCTCTTTAGTATGGAGAACTTTCTGGTCTTGGTCATTCTTGTTCAAAAGAGGTGCCCGTTACCATTGTCAATGCAAACTTTAGTTCCCAGTGTTAATACCACAGTGTATTTTCATGTGTAARAAATAAAATAATTTTTATTCACGCACATGCACAYTTTTAGTCTTCACCAGTACTGCTGATTGTAAATGGTGTTCTACACAGTCATTCTGTACAGTAATTTGTAAATCCAACTGCCAAAACACTCAAAAACTGTTTAGTAAAGTGGAGACACACCATATACAGGACCAACAAAAACAGGTTAGTACAATGACGCATGTAGAGGACCAGTACTAAGCACTATTTCTGAAAGAATTCTGGCATGTCTCTGTATTTCCTTTTTGTGTCAATCTGTAGTATTAGGTTTGATGCTGCTTGAAGCAATGGTATATTCTGGTGGCAATCTGTCATTTCTTATTTTTGTAGTGTTTTGTTTTGAGGAATTCATAAAATATGTCATCATTTATTACATACTTGCCTGCTGCATTATTGTATGTTGCATAAGCAATATCTCCTTGTGGGATTTTGTCCCAGCGTTTTACAATTCTTGAATTGGTGATTTGATGATGATATTCTTTCAAGCCAATTGTTGTTGAATCATCAAGAAGCTCCCCCAGATTACTAGTACTTCTTTTTTAACCTGTGGTTTGAATCAAGTTCAAGAAATGTGTTTTTTTTTCTCTCCAGATATTTAAAAATCTTTTTCATCCAGAGTGAGTCAATTCCCACTGGCAGTTTGAGTTGATTGAAGTCATCTGCAAAGACAATGGTGAGATTGCAATCATATAAATTATATGATGGCTATCACATAACCTGTTGAGATTCTTGTTCAATGTTTTCAACTGTTTGATGCTAGTAGTAGCAAGCAATATCTCATCAACAATGACAAGACCAAGTCTCATTTTCCCAAGTGTCATCCTCCTTAATGTTAGATCTTTCACACTTTGGATGAGAAGCTTTATGTGGTGTTTCCCCATTGATGTTAACTGCTGCTGTTCCACCAGCAGTGACGCCCGTGACAGCAAGAGCTCATCACCAGATGGAAAAGTTCACTCCCAGTTCTGTGCAAACCATCTTACAATACTAATGCCCCAAAGAATGAATTACTTTTGAATTTCCAGTAGTACACCATTGTTGCCTGATAGAAAACATATCAACTGCTTATTATTGTTTATAGTTACCTTGAGATCATGTATTCATTTGATGCATTGATAACCAATTGATCTTCCTCTGGAGTCTCTTTTTTTTGATTGATGAGGTGAACTTACATTTTCCATGAAATTTAAAATAGAAGCAGCAACAATCTGGCTAAATGTTAGAGTCTGATACTGTCCAATCTTCTGGCAGTAGTAAATGTAAAGTTTTTTTACTAGCTTCCTCTGCATCATTGGTCTCTTGTGTGTAACTTTTATGCAGAATTCAATACAAAACACTCCTCAGAGTGTCATGAGGTTTTCTAGTATGTCTTTGTGCGCAATTTTGTCTCTCCTTTCCATACAAAATATGGTCTTGTTGTGAACCAGAGTTGTAAAGTACAATTGCAATTGAAGCCATTGGTACTTTGGGTGGTTTCAGTACTAGTACTAGTGTTCTCCCACACTTACATGGGCTACAATCTGTGATAACTGTAGATTGAATTTGGAGCTTGTTATTGTATCTGTCTGTAAACTGAATCTGACCTGGATCATATCATATCAATGTTGTGATCAAATTCTGCCTGGAGTTATTCTTAAAAACTACTAGTAGTAGGAGTAACACTCTCTTCATTACTAGTAGTTTGAGAATAGTTTCCATCTCTCAAATTATTGTGTAACTTTTTTGAGAGCATATCTTGAAAATTTTTGAGCACTTTTTGATGACAGTTCTTCAATATTGGGTGATTCCTGTTATTGTTCTACTAGAATGCCAAACTGTTAGATTTGGCATTTTTAGCAATTTATAGTAATAGCAGGAATCAAAATTTCAAGGTACAGACAGCAAGGAAGGCAGGCTTTGTCTCAGTCTTTTTGGGAATCTGGGTCTGGTGTTTTAGATTCTGTAGGTACCGGTACRGCTTTCTGTTGAATCTCACAAAATTTTGATTTGTGTATTCTGATAGATTAAGCATGTTTTGAATGGGGTACTTTGACCCGTTCAAAAAATGCTAAATTCTTCTTAGGATGTCTTCTAAGGATGTCATCTGAAGATGTCATCTGAGGATGTCACCTAAGGATGTTGTCTGAGTATGTTGGTTTTTGAAGAAAAAAACAAATCGATCTGATTCATTGATCTGGTTGTCAGAAAGTGCTGTTTAGAAATCTGTGCATTTTGGATGGTGCCGGAGGTCTATCCAACAACAAGTCTATCCAACAATTTCTAGTAGATCTTGAATTTTGTAAATCTTGTCAAGTCCACTTTCAAATGAGTCAAACTAGCCAAATTGAGTGAAAAAGGCAGGAGTTTTCTAAAATGGTGTGTACTTCTGTCAATGAGGGACAATCTGTGAATTTAGATCTACAATATTTTATTCCAAAGCGGAAGAGGTTGAGACTACCCAAAAAGGGGTTTGGACTATAAAATTTAGGGTACAAATGGGTGTATACTGGTACAGAAACAGTTTAAGGACACTTTTTTTTCACCATCTGAAAGATGTTCAAGCAACTTAAGCCAGTCTTTACCCCCCCTGACTCTGAACCTTTCCCATCCAATGCCATCAGCATCCTTCTCATGATACTCCTTGAACTAGTATATCAGAGTTAATTTAAAAAATAATTTACAGCAGGATTCAAGATGCTACTACTACTATTTTCAATGCTAATACCAATGCCAATCTGATTGCTCAACATTCCCCTCCATTCAGTACTAATTGTAAACAACCACTAGAGAGCATCACTTTATTTAAATGCTATCATGCAGTTCTTTGATATGTACTACTACAATACTTTAAAGAATTCCAGAATACCTTACTACTAGTACATCTGTGAGTACCACACCAGTCATGCTCCTCAAGGAGTGCTGTCCCTCCTCACAGCAACTGATAAGAGCAACCTCCTCTCAGCAGCAAGAAGTGATGGTGGTTCTACTAGTAGTGTCCMTATTGCCTCTTCCAGTCCAAAACATTACATATTTTTTTAAAATGTTAGTAACATTGACATTAATAGTATGAAATAATCACCATACTTGTTCTGGCTAATCTTGGTTTTTCCCCAGTTCTATTTGATGGTTGTATGGCTTGTGACTGAATATATCTTGCTGTTCCACAAYTTTGAGGAGAGGAACTGCTGCTGGAAGTATTTCTTGTAGGACTCAAACTTGTTCAATAAGGCACCATCAGTGTGTTATGCCCATCATACCCATAGCAAAAGGTGTCCCTATTATTGCTGTTGGGTGCAATAGAATTGCTCAAGTCATGGCCATAGCTCTACTACTACTAGTACAAGTAAGTCCTGGGAGGGACTGGGTTCTCTTTGGTCTTAGAATGACCAATTACAATAATGACTGAATATCTAGCAAGTTATGGCAGGAGCAAGGAGGAACTGGTGGGTTCTCCTAAATTCTGGAATGACCAATGATAACAATGACTGATTTTTTATTCTTGATAGGAATTGGGTTATCTTTCATTTTGGAATAACCAATAACAACAATGACTGATTTTTTTTCAGTCTTGGGAGCAATATGGTTCTCTAAAATCTTAGAATTACTATCAATTCACTACTAGTGTGTTATCTAAAAAACATAAAAATGGCAGGGAGCCTTTGCTCTGTACCCCTGAYAAGATAGAAGATCATAACAAGGATTGCACTATTAGTCTGCAAGACGATAGGTTCAAAGTGTACTTCATGTTGTAAGAAATCTATAMTACTATTGTTGTAAAACTACTGAACCTTAGCACTTGAACAATGCATGCTAGAGTTGCTATCACAGCTTGGCTCTCGGGAATTGAGCACCTTGTTAGCTTCTTCATCTTGCCTCAAAAGCCACCGAAATGTGTCCGTAAATAAGACGGGGACAGGGCGGATTGTCACCTGCGAATCTTCATTTGCAGCTTCTTGTCCCTTTTCACCACTTTCCAATCTAGTGGTATACGTTTCAATTTGAATCCGCTTGTTAGATTCGTCTTGATCCTGAAAGTATTGCATGGTCGCTTTAACTACAAAAGTATTCACCAATGCAAGTATTACAGCTCCTGTCGCCAGAACAAAGAATCCATCTTCTATGGATGATTTTACACTGAAACACTGTGCATCTTCGTTTTTCAGAATTCCATAGAACACCAACTCAGAAAAAAATCCATCCAATGAGCCACAATAAGAATTGACCATGAAGGATGATATAGGCGCAAGTTGCCAACTGGCAACAAAAATAGAGATAATGTATACTTCGGCGTATTGCCACGCTTGGAATATTTCGTTCAGAACAATCATTTTTCTCCTGCGCTTCATTGTCATTGGAACAAACCAGTGCCCAAGTAAGAAAATTGATTGAGCGATAGGAACTAGAAGAATAGTAGCAACGAAAATCACCGAAAAAGAACCCAAGCCGACAACATCTTTCACTGTATCCAAAAACTGTGCCTCTTCGAAGATCAACTGAATCACTGTAAATGCACTGTGATTTGTGTTCGCTTCCCTAAATTCCTGCCCCATCTCTACAGCGATACCGAGTAACCCAAAGACTTCGATCGAAAAAGAAGGCAGGGTGCATCCAGCAATGATACATGCAATCAACGATAGCACCAAAAAGATCAACATGCTACTCGTCCAAGGTCGAACAATTAATTTTTCATCCTCTCCACGGCGTGGTCGACTGAATTTATGGGTGCGCAATAACACTTTCTGGTCGCAGTCATCTTCAATCTTCTCCAGCGAAAGATTAGTACTCGTCTTCAGGTATGAAATGCGTGCTTTCTCCGCGATTTTACGGTGATAATGAATAATAAAGTGTGAACTGATCTGCGATATCAATTGAGCGATCAGGTTTGCGTACAGCCCCCAAAGCGGAACCACCAGTAAGTCTAGAGAATAGAAATCATTTGGCAAGATGGCAAAGTTGGCTGGACTATTCACTGTGACACGGAAGGCGGCTAAGCAGACGATCAAAACAAATATATCGATCATGGACCACTTTGCCAGCCGATCAAGCCACACTAATATTGATCCACGACGGGATATCGGCACCCACGAAGTCGGGGTAAACCACAAGACGAGGGTTGCCATTTGCTTCGTGTAAGGCCAGATTCCGGAGAAAATAAGAATAAGAATGGCGAGCGCTTTGCCACCTGAATTCCAGATATCAATTGTCGATTTCGCCACAGAAAATTCAAAGAAATCATCAACTTCGATGGTCTCCCCAGCGATTGTAGCTACTATCTTGACGGTTGCACCGAGGCTTAAATGGCCCGAGAGGAATAAAGCGATATTTCCCAAAATGATGATTGGCATACCCCAGCGAAGGACACATGGAATATCCTCTGCGCTCTGGAACATCGACCGCGTAGTTGAATTCAAGTTAAATTCCATTGAATCTTCGTTTCTTTGGATATTCTTTAGTACTTCGACTTGCTCTATAGGGAGCGTCGAAAGCCACCGTCTGTGACGACGCCGTGTGACGCAGCGAATCGAGAAAACGACAGCTGCTACTACCAAAATCAACGACAAAAAGATCACGCCGATAAGGATCAAAAAGGTTGCGGAGTCTTCGATTTGAATTGTGTCAAAATCCTTATACTTCCTCTTCTTCGCAGAAATATTACTGGGACTAAAATTGGGATCGTACGTAGGACTGTGGCGACATTGTTTGGAGGCATCATTAAGCAATCGATCAATTTGGACTTGCAATAAATTGCCCTTTATCACATCGGCAGCGGATAGCAACAATGTATTGGCCAAAAAGGTAACATCATTTTGGGCTTCTCCAGATRACATCAACGTTTCCGTGAACTCGACGATTCCAGGACTCGAGCACTCTACACAGCTCACGTTCAGGTTGAGATTAGCCACGGAGGCCTGAAAATCAACGACAGATGCCGAAACCTCGTCTTCCCCAGTGGTAACTCCTTGTGCATTCAAGCTTGGTGCGGGTATTGTTGCAATCCAACAATTTAGATCGAAAACATCGATCAAAGGAAACTCCAACAGATTCGATTTGAGGATTTTTAGCATTATAGTTGCCATCGCATTGGCTGAATACATGTCAAAGCTGATGTCTAGTTCGTTCGCTATTTCAGTTCCTTGAACCTCGTCTATTACAGCAAATGCGACATTCGCTGATACTCTTAGCGGATGATCTTTGACTCCGATGGTTAGGTTGTTGTTTAACATGTAGGGTTCATTTGGAACGGGCTGCAGCATGACTAATGGTGCTGACAATGTATTGAGATTTTCAATTTTGATGTCGCTCGCTCTCAAGCGAACGTTGGCATTAAATCCACCGAGATTAATTCTTTGAACAATATTAAATATATCTTCGCCATCTCCACCGAACAATAAAGTGCCCTCCGTCCCGGATTGCCGTTTGGTCAATGGATCAACCAATACTTCATTAATCTTAGGCATCCCCGTCGTCAGATCATTTTCGAGCAGTCCCTTGTTCACCGCATCCATCAACAAAGACGGAAACTCTCCATATTGGCTTTTACTTTCGGTCGAGAACGAGGAATCGAAAAACTCTCGAAAGTCTACATACTCTTCGCTACCGTCGATAGAAACGCTCTCGTATTTTGGACAATTGCTACTGCTATCTTCCAATATCAAAGAGATCTGGTCATTGACGAATGTCTTGACAGTGTTATGAAACATGTTGGGAAGGAGGTCCTCCACAATGACGTCATGATACATCTCGAAAGCAATTTCTGCCAAGTCGGACAGGATACGATCGAGGCCATCATCGACGAATCCTTCCAATGTTGGTGAACTGATCTGCTTGGAAGAAACAGTCAATTCTGTAAACACGAGATCTTGAATGGCTGACATCAAACAAGGTAGCAGCCAAGAATAATCTGCGGTATTCGTCAACGCCAATACAGATCCGATTGTGAATCCGCTCAATGCGTTCACGTCAATCAACAGGAATATCCTTGCTATTACAGCAACGTCTTCGACCCCGAATCTAATCGTGATTTCTTCGTTAATACCTTTGGATGGAGAATCGGTTTCGAGTTTTAATAGTGCTTTTTCCAACGACGAAGGTTGGATGTCCAATGCAATATCAATTTCCATGTTCAAATAGTCCCACACAAACTCATTACTTAGAGAATGATTTCCTACCACCACTAGGGGATTGAATTTTATCATGCTATCCAAGCCATATATTCTCACTTCTTTCACAGCAATGCTTGTTTTTGTGAGTTTGTCGTGTAATTCAAAGTTTAGGGCGTCTTGTCCAAGTAACTCATCGACGTTCACGACTAATGCGCCATTTTCGTTCAGTACATAAGATTTCAAAAGAGCATTTATACCAAGCTCACTACCGCTGTCTTCGTTGCTTCCAAAGAGTTGATCAATCTCACCAAGTGCTGTTTCAAATAATTCTCCAATCTGTGTTTCGGCGATGTCTTTAAAATTGAGTGCTGTTGTCGTATCGTAATCGTTGGGCTGAAGAGATGACCCAGTATCTTCTGTAGCGGATAAATCAGACAATGTCTCGTCTATCATAGTGAAAACCTCATCATTCAACATTKTAACCCCCGTCGAAGACAACTGGGAGCAAGCATATCCTTCGATTTCTTCTTCGATCAAATCTCGTAAATACTGTTCAAAGAGCCCGATGATATTTGAAGCGAAATCAGCGTCTATGAAATTCACGTCGATGATTTCAACATCAACGACACATTTAGTTACGGATGACGTCACAGAAATATCACCTCCCTTGTTGCTAGTGACAAATCTCATGGAAGTATCGGCCATATTTCCATCTGTAACAATTTCTGCCAGTCCGGTTCCTTTTAAGAATCCGTATTCGTATTGATATTCAATGTCGCAGGCAACATCGATTTCGTCAAGCGATATGTCCACATCGATAACATTATCTTCCGTAACGTGGTTCACGTTCATATTTCCAATGCTGATATCTCGACAAACCAAGCTGTCTACCACTAAATTCAAGTTGATGAAGCCSACCTTCTCAGATATCGTCATATCGTCTTCGATATTGATCGTCACGGTCCCTAACAATTCATTCACTCGATCAAAATCGTTGTTACTTTGTTGTAGTATCCTCGATATAGATCTATCCAAGTTGTATTCGCTAATATCATAGGGAGAGAATTCGTCTTTAGCGAGAGCGAACGCCGGCGGAGCTAAAGCAAAGGCGCAAAACGCTAGCGAGAACAATCCCATCGTCATGCCTCTGTAAAATATGGTTCCCAGTATCGCAGAAGGCATTTCTATCATGTTTTACTGTACTGAAATTGTCGGAAACAATATTTTCGAATTTATGGGGAATTTGTCGGTATCATAGAGTGAAGACTGTGATGGAGCTGTTTCAAATTAATGGATTGTTCGAATGAAGCTTGGAAGGAAACAAACTGTCCCTCCGCTGATGATTTTACTGTAAAACTTTCAAACGACCTCAAAAWCTCCTAGCTCTCTAATCCTTCATTGCTTCTACTCGCGCTTATGTTATCCACGAGTGAGTCGGCCAGGCATGCTCCGTCGAGATTCTCGATACATCTTTCAACGACTATTTTTAAGTTTTAGGCATAGTTAAAAAAGGCGATTTAATTGGTCGTGCAAAAAAATAATGTCGCGCTTTGGACTATTCAGACAATACAGTAAATCCGATAAAAAGAGGTAAAAACGAAAGCGATCGTGTGACAAAAACTAAATTAATACTGACTGGTACGGCAATCGGGCTTTTTGTTGACTTGAAAGTCCCTTACTCACCTAATTCTTGGAAGAGTTCCGAATGCTCCATGGCAAGTTCTAAAATACTGCAACATTGATGCATCAGGAATCAACACTTTAGTGCTTTAATTGGAATGAAAATTATTGGCAGATCTAACGACAGAACAATGATTCAACAAAGAATCGTACGTTCAGTATCCATCTCTCTCTGTCACCTGTTTTATTACCCAAAAGAACGTACCGGTATCAAGAATGATTGTTCTACAAATTTTTCAATCGAACCTGACTCTAAAGTTTCAAGTAGTGTTGACTTGTCAAATAATTACTTACAAAGCTACCTATCCTCTTCCTAGTGGGTTCTTTCGATGAAGGATCACCTTTCTATCTTACTTTGGCACTTTGATGCGTTCTTGGAAAGATTTTCAAGAACACCATTTGCGTGGAGTAGTCCGACTACAACTATGATATTGAGTTCATTAGGAACATCCTTTACCATGGTAGATGTAGTCGACTCGTTTTCGTCGATTGGTACCAGATTTGAGGCTGTCAAATATCCCTCGGGTGTCACCGAGATCTCGTCAGCGTTGCCATCGTCCGTGGGTGATGATAAATCGAAAGTTTCTTTTCCGAGAATTTCAGCCCTTACTTTCCTTGCACCTGACGGGCGTGACCCTTCCGTAACATTTATCAAATGCCCAAATCGTCCCCTACGCCGAAATATTACGTCGGCATAACGACCCTCTACAAAACCACGGGAGGCTTCGGCGACATTGATAGCGCTATAGAATTTATTGCGACACGTCACACATCCAATTATTCTTTGCTCACCAGATGCCGAAGCATCTTTTGTTGCGGGATCTACTGCCRCTCTATTCGTTGTTAATTTTTGTTTCTGGTTCGAAAGCAACAACCGATCAATCATTTTCAGCCAACGTGGTTCGAATAAATTGAGATTCCGTACAGCATCTTGTTCTAGGGCATTCTTGAGGGTAAACAATGGAATTCCACTCGACGCCAACTTGTTTGGATTGCCTGGTGCTTCTTTATGTGCACATTCATCTTCCATTTCGGTTGCCGGAAAAGTCCATCGTTTCCTAATGAGCTGCTTCGATTTCAACATAAACAATGTCGTCACTGCATTTTGTATGTTTGACGCAATGACTGCATCCCGATCAGCAATGAGGTTGTTGAAGACCTTGCATGAAGCGAAAAAGGATAACACTAAAGAGAGCAACGTTGCGAGCATTTGGAAGAAAGAATCCAACATTGCACCATCGTGTGGAGATACATTGGTTGGGAAAACTGAGGTGGTGTCGAGAGCGATTGCAAAGATCAAAATCAAACATGGTACGCTTAATGTAGCGACGAGTGGTAACAGCTTCCGGGGATCATCGAGAAAGGTACCGACAACGTCAACATTGATGGAAAGAACTTTCGAATTGCTGTTCGTGGTGCGGTCGAGACGAGTGCGAAACAAAGATTGCAATGCTTTCAGGATGTTAGTTGGATTGTACGAATTGGCGTCGAGAACTGTGTCGATGAATCTCTGCTTTGTTTCGAGTGGATACTCGTCTCCTAAAAATATTGGAATGTCCAATTCCTTGGATGTTTCAATGGCAGACAAAAAATCTCCACCAAACCATCGTTTGCCGATCATTTCCATCGCGCCTGCTCCGGTTGTTTCTGCCGCTGCCACCCTTACAGATGCATCATCAAGGGTCAATCTTAGTAGTCGCTCGGGGTCGAGTTCGATCACAACACCGTCGGGGTTTACGCGACAGATCAAGTCAGACACTTCTTTGTAGGAATCGCAACGGAAATGCGAGGTTCCGATCACGTAATAATTTATCGTAGTTGTGGCATCTTTATCCGCTGTGTTTTTGAGTATTTTGTTGTTTAGTATTGAAAGACGACCGACACACGAAGGGGGTGGCGAGGTGGATATCATCGGGCTGGTGCTACCAGTTGCCGTTTTTGTTTTCACTGTAGTTTCCTCAATACCAGATTTCTTGAGAGGGAACGCCGAACACATTATGATCCCGTCCGATAATGTCCCTAACAGGAAAGATAAGAAATGAAATAAACACCCTATCGAGAGTGTTCGGACGGCAATAGATCGACGCCTACAGCGAAGCAACTGCCGGGGACGATGCCCTAGGAATTCTGTTCTTGTCGCCCCCTCCATGGCGGTTTGGTCTGTTGGCTTTTGATAAATCTGTCAATTCGAATAAAAATAATATGGTAGGCAGGATCAATTGAGCTCAAAAGCAGTGGYCAGTGGTATTTCCTCTGACTGTTGTCTCAGAAGAAGTCGAAGGCAGAATAGATTTCGAGGTTGTTCCCCGTCCTGAGTGCTGAAGGAGAGGTATTTACTAGCAGTTACTGCCGACGGAAAGTATGGATCATTGTATCTTCAGCTGTTTCGATTTTCGATGTTGACGCAGAAAATGTTGTGTACCGGTACGTACCGGTAGAGCGGAACCCCACCCGCAAAAACAATCCCGTGTAGTGGGGACTAAAACTGAATCCTTGGGGGGCGATGGCCCAAACGTTTAGTGATGACAATTTCACAACTTCATCTGCAACGATCTAGGACTCATACTACTAATAGTAGTCTCTTCTTCAAATTTCTTGTTGTTCTTGTTCTTTCTATCAATCCTTTGCTACATGAGGGGTTATTAATGGTTTCCAACCACCAGCACCACTACTTGTTTTTCTTGCTGATACTAACAACAACAACAACAACAAGTATTCTTGTTGCTGCTGTCTGCAGCTGCTGGTAGTGGTTCTTCTTCTACTAGTACTACTACTATTACCATTGCCCCTGTTGCCTCCACAACCAGCACATCCTACTGAATAAGTTGGCTTGGTCTCCCTCCTAATTTGATTCCATGGTATAAAATACTTACCATAGAGGCATTACAGATAATTGCAGTTTGATCTAGATCGCCATAACAACAATATTAACCTCCAGGATTTTTTTTGTCATAAAAATCTTCCTATTGTCTCCTGCATAATTAAAACGGGCAAGTTGGTATGTGGGTCAGAATCGGAGTCAATGATGGCAAGATTCATCGGACGAATGTGACGTTTGCGAATTGGTGAGATACCTGTGTTCACCACTCGTGATTGCAACGAGCTTGGAAAGACCAATAGCAATGCTGGCGTCGATGGGAATAAATGGATAGTCACAGTAGCCCAGAAATGCCACCGGATTGTGGATAAAAGCAGGAAAACGTCCGTTCGGTGTGCCCCTAAAGGTCACAACGCGTATATGGTGCACCCAAATCGCGATTTTTTTGAAACGGACAGATGGAAACGCCTTCGCGATGCCCAAACGTGAGGCATGGCTCCTTCGGTACGGTTCAGAAACACCGATGCCATGCGGGAGCCTTTGCTAGGGTGGAGCCAGCCACCTGCAAACCGCTTCGTACGTTGTGAAGGTGATGGCCTGCCCCGGAACGATTCTCATCAATCTCGGGGTGATACCTTTCCAGAGGGCTCCGGCGCCTTCCTCGCTCGAGATTTTCAGGCACGCCTGCACCAACCCGGTGTATCTCGGTGGATTGCGTTGGTTCTTCGCGGCRGTGTTCTGTTTCTGCAGCCTCGTCTTTACCACGTCGAGCGGGTTGTTGACGAGGGGCCCCATGGCACCCGATGCACCCCCGATCAGCAGGCTCATGGTTCCCGACAGCCGGGGGGCGTSTTCCTGTCCCCGTGTCTCCCCGCCGGCATCCTTCCGCTCCAGCCAGTGGGCCTTCATGGCGTTGTAGGCGGTAAAGTTCACGGCCTGGTTGCACCCCTGGCGGAGCATCGTCGGAACCACTCCCTTGTAGAGGGCGGACCATCCCTCCTCCCGCGCGATGGTGGCCGCGGTCCGGAGGACGTTCCCGTACTTTTCCGCCTGCGCCTCGAGGGGATCGAGCAGGGAGTGCCGCTGGGACTGCATCCGGATCTTGCACACCTCCGCCGGGGTCACGACGAGGACCGCCTCGGTGAGGCCCGACAGCAGGCCGGCCGCAAAGTTCGCCGTCTTTTCCCCGAGCGAGAGGCGCTGGTGCATCGTTTCCCTGTACTGCTCGAAGGAGACAAACCGGATCGCCATCTTCGGGACGATTCCTTGTTGGTGGAGGGATTCGGAACATCGTTGGGGAGTTACAAAACACCTCTTTTAGACATTCTGCAGCAACGAGACAGGCGCAAACAAGCACAAACAAGCAAGAGTGCACACACAATCGACTCACCAACGTACACCGCGGTCAGTCCCTTGTACAGGCTGAGGAATCCCTCTCTCCGGACGATGCGCCGCGCCGTTGGAAAGAAACCGAGGGGCTTCCCCCTCTCGTGCACCACGCTCCGGGTGTCCGAAGGGCCCGCGAGGGTCGCGTGTATCCGCTGCCCCCGCTGGTTCCACCACGCCCCGGTACCGTTGCTGTTGGCCTTGCTGTTGGCGACGGCAGAGGCCGCCGCAGCGCTCGGATGCGGGGTCCGGCCGGTCCCGCCCGGTAGGTTCCTCCACCATCCCCCGCTTGCTGCACCGCTCGGGGCGGGGACGGGCACTTGGGCGTTCCGAAGAGCGGAGGCGGCACGGAGCCGGGGCCGGATCAGGTTGGCCGGTTCCACGAGCGAGTGCTTCGGTGGTCGATCGAGCGCGGGTTCMGCAAGGGAGTGCTGGATGCGGAGGACGGCGGGTTCCACCAGGGAGTGCTTTATGCGGAGGACGGCGGGTTCCACCAGGGAGTGCTGGATGCGGAGGACGGCCGGTTCCACCAGGGAGTGCTGGATGCGGGTTGCCACCGTTGCGACGTGGTGGTTTCGGAGCTGCATCCGCGTCTTGATCGTGTCGAGGGGGTGGCAGATCGAGGACTCGACCAAGCCCGCGACGCCACCGGCCAGCAGGGCGTGGCCCACCGGTGGTTTCGTTGTCTTTTTCTGTTTCTGCGTTTGCGTCTGCGTTTCGCCACCGGGGCCGCCGCCTCTGCTGGTGCTTGCTTGGGCGGGCATGTCGCGTGGGTCGCCAGAGGAGGGCTCTGTGGTTTTTCTTGCTTGTTTGGGAACGCGCGTGGCGTGGCACCGGCGGGGGAGGGTTTCTTCGAGCGATGGATTCGTTTGTGGCCACTTTGGGCACGGTTCGGGGAAGGGTAGGGGAAGGGTGCGTCGGGGAATTTGAATTGCGATGTTGGGGTGCTACGAGTGCGTACTCTCTCTCACACACAAGCGGCAAAGAGCACCGGATGCCGAATGGTAGGTTTGTTCGCGAGTCGTTTGTGGCGTGCGGCGTTCGAAAGAATGTGATGCATGGATGGATTCGTGCAACCGAGAAAAATCGTCCTTTCGTAGTTTTTCCGTGAGTAGAATGAAAATCCTCGTGTGTGCATTCTTTTTTTCTCGGTACTATGTAAGTAGTACTCGTACTCGTATTCTTTTGCCCGTTATGTTATGTTGATGTCAACCAAAAAGCATCGTCCTGATGGACGGTGTCACCAAAACATAACCCCTTTTTCGATTTTCGAATTGTTTTTTGACGTCACGTGACATTCTTATTTCGACATCCCGGTAGTAACCATTATTTTCTATTCTATAACCTCAACCCTAGAGTGTTTGACGGTGAAAGATGAAAGATACCGCGGACCAGGGGACGCCGGTGGGTACAGTACTGTACGTATGGTACGAAGAAGACCGTGGGCCGTTTACTCGTACGTGTGACCGGTACTGTTTTGTACGCTACGGCGGCAGGCAAGGTATGTACGCTACGGTACAGTACCAAGTTTTGGACCCAGGCCAGGATGCCAAAAAATCCGAGAAACGAATTCGCGTGGGAGAACAGAAACATGAACAGATACGGGATTCTCAAACCTCCGCTTTGGAAGGATTGATCGAAACCTCCCACAAGCCTACAATTGTTCCGAGGATTCCGGTCTCCCCGTTGCAACCCCTGCGTACAGTATCATGCCGAACCCAACCAACGATGCTGGCAGCCGCGGCAACAACGTCGACAACGCCAACGCCAGCGCCAACCAGCCCCGTCCCTACGACGACGGGATCTACCGGCACGCCTTTGCCGCCTTTCCCGTCCCGGGCCTGTGCCCCTGCTTTGCCACGGGGGCAACCCTTCTGCGGATCGCGCGGCGGGAGCTCCGCACCGGGCTGGTGGAGGACGGGGAACGAGTTGTGGAGGACTTTTACGSCSTCCTGGACCGCGTCGAGGCCTACCTGGCCCGCCGCGACGCGAGAAACGCCCGGGAGAAGTGCAAGGACCGAGGAAGGGCCGCCAGGGAGCCAGCCCACGAGGGCAGCAGGGTCGTCATCGAGGTGGAGGGCCTCGACGGCAGCGGAAAGACGACGCTCTGCCGGTCCCTGGCCGGGGAGATCAACAAAAAGCTGTCCGCGTGCGGAAGCCCCAAGATCGCCGTTTCCACCAAGACGCCCCCGGCCTCCCTCAAAGCCGTCCGGCCGCTCTTTGACCACCGGGGGGGCACGCTGGCGCGGGTCTTTTACGCGGTGTCCAACTACGTCCTGGAATACGAGATAGAGGAAGCAATGCCGGAGGAGGTCGCCGTGGTGGTCGTCGACCGGTGGTACGCCAGCACCCTCGCCTACTCGGTGGCCTACCGAAGCAGCGATGGCGACGAAACCCGAGGCCTTTGCGGAGACCCGGACCGGCTGGACGACTCGGTCTTTCGCTGGCCCCGTGACCTGGGGCCGATGCCGGGCCTCCTGCTGGTCCTGGGGATCGGTGCCTCCGAACGCAGGGCGAGGGTCCAGAGCCGCAGGGAACGCGGCGGCGGCGCCTCGGCCTTCAACCCGTGGGACGACCGGCTGGAGAAGGACGAGGCCCTCGGGGACCGGATCCTCCGGACCCTGGAACGGGTCCACGGCCGGGGGATGAAGGTGGAGGGAATCGACGCCGGAAGGACCCCCGGGGAGGTGGTTGGCTCGGCCCTGGCGATCGCAGCGCCCCTGCTGGAGGCATTCTTCCCTGCACCCGGTACTCGTACTCCACCACCCGTGCCCTTCCGGGGACCCCTCGGAGAGTGGGCCAGGGACGCGCGGGCGCCGGGCCCGTGCGGGAGCGAAGGACCCCGGGCCGTGCGCCCACCCCGGAACCGGAGCCTGGGGTTGGCCTTTTGGCCGCATCCCCGTCCGGCTCCGGACGGCGGTTCCTCCCCCGTGGCACCTGCGCCGCCGGTGCTCGAAACCGCGTGGCTGGACCGGATCACCGCCGGCGCCGTCCGTGCTTGGACGGCCGGGTCGGGCCTCCTGGCCCACGGGCACGCGGGAGGCGCCGAAGGCAGCACCCGTGCCGGAAGCATCCGGATGGCCTCCGTCCTCTGGGCGGCGGGGGATTCCCCGGGAGACCCCGAGTGGAGGGCCGAGGGATTCCTGGAGGGGGTGACCCCTGCCGAGCGCGAGCTCGGGGGCTTTCGGGCACCCGGTGTTGTGGAAGGGGAGCCACGGGCAACCCCCCATGCCATGGTTCGCTTCGTCCCCCTCCGCGCAAGGGTCCTCCGGGGCGGTCCCGGTGGTGGCCGCCCGGAATGCACCGGATGGACCAGGAACCACACGGAACCACCCATCGGCGGTGGGAACGGGGGCGGCTGGACCGAGGAGCCCGCTGTCGCTGTCGCTTTCGCTGCCCCAGTGAGCTACCGGGCCCGTCCGTTCTGCCTCGTGCTGGCGGGCTGCCACGCGGCGGGAAAGACCACCCTCGGAAGGAGGCTGGCCCGCCTCCTGGGGTGGAGGTTCGATCCCGAGCTGGGGGAGGTCCTGCGCAACAGCGACAGCGGCAATCGCCGCGAACTCCTGCCCGGGGGGCACTTCTGCGGCGACGGGAGTTCCCCGCCGGACGATCCCCCGGGCAACGGCGGCGAAAGCCCCGCCGACGCCTGGGACGACCTCGTCTTCGAGGCGGAAACGACACGGGACGCGGATTCCCTCGAGGCCGGGTGCTGCCGGGTCGTCGAGACGTGGCACGTCGGGAACGAAGGGTGGCACGCCCTGCGGCGGGCACACGGGGCACCACCACCGCAACAACAGCAACAACAGCAGCAACAAAATCATCATCATCCTCCCACGGCCGGGGGCGACGCCGATCGGCAGCGGTACCGAGACGCGGTGTCCAAGCACGCGCGATCCGCGGTGGTGGTCCTGGTCCGCCTCGACCTGCCCTCGCCGGGAATCGTACTGGACCGCCGGAAAGGGGACGCATCGGCCCGCGAACGGCTTCCCCTGGAGGACGAGGCCAAGGACTGTTGGGAGCTCTTCCGGGCCCTCMAGCCCGGCAGCACCGAAACCCAAACCGAGGGCGAAACGACGGAATGGGGCGTGCCAACCCTTCGCGTAGACAACGGTGGCTACGGCGAGGAAGCAATGGCGCAAACGATGCGAACCATTCTGTCGTTCGTTGAAAAACACTATTACAAGCGAGCCGTGCCTCTGTCCGGGTGATGGCGGTTCTTGCCCGAGGATGGATCGATGGCAGGTATGGATACCACAATAAACAAAACGACTGCAATTTGTTTTTCTATCGAATAGGTTGAATTATGCTTTTAGTAGAATGGCCGGAGCCTTGTCTTTGGAATGTCTCAAAAAAAGAGGAGATCACGACGTTTCCTTCGTTTCGTCGCCGTTGGTCGTTGCCGACAATGCTTCCTCTCCATAAGCTTCGCGGCACCGTCCCAGGGCCCAGATGGGGAAGACGTTGCGATAGGCGGTATAGGTGATTCCAATGCTGCGGTTGAAGACCCCGCTGATTCCTTCCTGGGGCCAATCGCCGCTGGGCAGCTSTCGCTTCATTAGGTACCGAACGCCCCTGCGAATGGCTTCGACGTCGTCGCACTTTGCGCAGGACAGGGCCATCAACGCCCACGCCGTGTTGACGACGCCACTGCCCTCGCTGTCTCCGTACGCCTTCATTCCCTCCTTTGCGTAGTCCTTGTCGTAACACGACGTGAAATCCTCTCCCCAGCCGCCGTTCGGGTTCTGCTGCTTCAAAAGGTAGCGACAGGCTCTGACAATGCACGACGAGTCCGTGGGCTCCCCGCAACGGACCAGTCCCTCGATTCCGAACCAGATTCCGTAGCAGAAGCAGCAGGCCCACGACCCGTACCACGAACCATCGTCGCGCTGGATGCTCTTCAGGAACGATCGTCCCTTGTCGATGCTTCTGCGAATGTCGTCGGCTCTGTGGTCGGGAAAGTGTTCCGCAAAGTCCGCCAGAGCGGTCAGGGACGCCATCGAGCATTCCACGTAGGAGTAGTCGATCATGATGTCGCCAAAGACCTCGCTAGGGTTCAATTGCTCGTACCAGCCCCACCCGCGATTGTTTTCGTACGTGGCCCATCCACCGTCTTCGTTCTGGTAGGTCAGCAAGATGTGAGCGGCCTTGTAGAGACGCTCGTCCGAAATGGACGCAACGCCATCGCCGTTGTCCCCCTTTTCGTTCAGGGCATCCTGAATGGTTTTGGACTTGAGCAGGCACAGGGTGGCTTTCAAGCCTTCTCCGGTGCAGTCGCTGATCGGCCAGCCGTGCGCCGATGTCGAAAACGGCCACCCGCCCTCCGAGATGTGGCGGTAAAACTTGTTGCGGTTCTCGCAGGTCTCGAACTCGTACGCGGGGCTCGACTGGGATACCTCTGTCGACAGGATCTGGGTTCTCTCGAAGTAACCCCATACCTTGCGGGTCAGCTCGGGGAATTCGTCCAGCAAGCCGGCCTCCCACATCGCTTGGATGGCAAAGCTCGTGTCCCAGCACTGGCTGCCGTTGTATCCCTGCATCTTCATTCCGTCTTCCGCGACCCACAGGTAATCGCGAACCCGGGCCATGTGTTTCTCGACGAGGAGTTCGGCATCGCCGCTTCCGTCGGGTTTCGTAACGCTGTGGTGGTACATCGACAGCATGTTCAAGACCTTGTTGACGGGACCAATGTCGATGAAATTCGTCTGCAGATCCTCCGCTTTCATGTATTCCATGGAAAATTCCAAACCCCGGGCCCGGAAAAAGTTTCGAAAGCCATCGAACAAGCTCCAGTTTTCGTACCTCGCTAGGGCGTTTTGCAGGAGTCTCATCACCAGCGGGATAGGCGAGTAATTGTCGGTAACCGCAATGAGATGCCGGGTCTTGATCCATGGAATCGAGTCGTAGGATTTTCCTGGGTACAATTCCGTTCGCAGTTCTGCAATCAACGGATCGGAGTCGACCTTCGCGTAGACGAATCGCGAGCCGTAGAGGTAACCCATAGGCAGGTATACCATCCGGGCGTGGCACCACATTCGTCCGGGATGGAAAGGAATCCAGTTGGGAAGCATCCACATTTCCGGAGGAACTGAGTTGTGACCTTTCCAATCCATGACCCCCAGCAGGCATAAATAAAACTTGGACCAGCTCGACGTGTAGAGTGCCCCTCCGTGCTCGTCCATGAACGACCTTGCCTTGACGCAGGCTTCGTCGTCCTTATCGGCTCCCAGAAGCCTCAGAGCAACGTACATCAACACGCTTCCAAACATGGTGGATGGCGACTCGATGTGGCTGCCCCATCCTCCGTCGAGCTGTTGGTGGACGCGGATGTAGTGGGCCATCATCTGGGCCTGCTTTTCGTCGATCAGCTTCGAGGGCCGGTTCATGACGTACCAGGTTACGATCAATCCCGGTAGCAAAAAGTGGGGACCGCCGTAGTCGGCGGCCCAGTGGCCGTCCTCGCACACCAGCATGTTGTAGAACTGTACTGCCTTTCGGCAGCATTCTTCGATGGTAGTGGGACTGGACGACATGTCGGGGGGCGGCGATGGCAATATTTCATTGCTATCCCCGCTCTTCGCCAGTTTGGTTTTCTTCTCGTAGTCGCGAAGATAGTTGCGGATTTGCTGCGCGCGGAAGATCTGGTCGTTTGTATTGGGATTGACCGATGGTTCGAACCCGGGGTGGGGACGCCCTCCGAGGGCCAATTCCTGAACAAGCGCCTCGTCGACGTCGTTCGTTCCTTCGTTGGTTTTCGAATTCTTGGTCGGAGACAGCAAGCTAGAAATAAAGCCTCCAACTCCTCCGCCGCTAGCTTTTTCTTGGCCTTTTTCGCTCTTCGACTCTTCGGTTCCTTGTTGCACGTTGAACCAGGTTTGGCGACCGGCGGGTTCTCCCGTCAAGAGTGTCTCCGAACCGAATTGTTCCGAGGTTGCCAGGTGGGATTTTTGGGCCGTCAGGAACGTCCACCCCTTCAGCTGCGCTTCTGGTATGGAGGTCCGGCCGTCCTTCCACTTTGGGCTCCTGGGAATCTTGTGCGGGCGCGGGCCTCCCGGCTTGCTCACCCCCGGAAGAAAATAGTGAACCGCAAAACCGATCGCGAACGCGTACACACCGAGGGCCAGGAATGCCGAGGGCACGGCGTCGTCGTAGAATGTTTTGCAGACACTAAGCTCGCCCTGGTCGTCCCCACCGAAGAAGACACCGGCGCGCAAGACAGACGCCCACAGAGCCAGGACGGCAGCGACGTGAAAGGCGGTCCGACTCGAGGGATCGAAGGAGCCCAGGATTGGATCGTATCCGGAAATCCCGGACGGCCCGTTCCGTGCGTTGATGTTGTAGCTCCACCACCATCCCCACAGATTTTCCCCGTGTGGACGCAGCCCGAGTTCCTTCAGATTGCGGGGCGTTCCCAGAACAAGGGTTGTGTACACCGCAACGACTGCGTACAAAAAAACGACGACACTCAAAGGGATGCCAAAGTTGTGGTTGACGGCCACGCTGCAATCGGCAAACGCCGAGATATCAATGCCCCCCATTATAGTCTTTCTATCGGAGATCTCTCACGAAAGGACAGACAAAGAAGGTTGCTGGTTGTATTATGATATGATGGTTGGGGAAGTTAATGCCCAAACAGAGCCAATTTTGATACAAAAATCAACAACCGGTGCGCTAGATTGCCGCCAAGAATCAAAAGAACCTTTCATCAAAAACGGCACTGGAAGTCGTACCGTACGGTACAGTACATACCGGTACATTAGCCGGTAATCTATGGTGTTGCGGCAAAGCAAGATTCAAAATGTACGATACAACACGTGGTAAAAAGCAAAACCGCGCCGTTTTGAACTAAGCAATAGCACAATACAGTAAAGTACCATACCTGGTACCTGGTACCTGGTACCGTATTTTTATTTTGAACCAAGCAATGCCCCSGCCGACCGGCGCACCCATGCTACCGTACTAGTTTATTATCTATGAAACGTATGTTAGTATAGTGAGGTTACTCACTAGCTATTCGTGATTCAGCCTCACAGAGATTCATTCCTTCGGGTTTGGAGCGAACGGTCGTAATCGTAACAATGTCGAATCGAACGCAATTCAGATCCCATACAGTATCTTACTTGCTACAGCAGAGAGAGACAACAACGAGGAGCCGAGCTTGCTGCATTGCTCTTCCTAGAACGCAGTGCAACAAGATACAGTAAATCCGTGGCATGCATAGTAAAATCGTGATTGCAACTCTGATCAACGGAAACAAACTACAGATTTGGTGCAATTATTGTTACGTCCATACAAGCTATGGCGACAGAACACCGTCCTGCCTCCGGGCATTCCTTCTTTGGTGCGCAGGCGTGTCCACGGCGGGCGGGCACACGCATCTGTCGCCAAAACGTGCACCGCCCGTGGTCTCCGTCGAGAAGGAGTGCCACGCACTCGTGGTGCGACAGAAGCACCGCAAAGGTCTTCTTCTTCGATCCCTAGAGGGCGGACTTTCCGGTGATGACCATGGTGATCTTCTCGGTGAGGATCAGGCTGATGATCGTGTAGGGGGCCAGCTTGACAAAGGCGGGCGTGAATCCGGCCCAGAGCTTCGGGACTCCCTCGTTGCCAATAATCTTCAGGAAACCGTCGAGGGTGCTCTTGTACGGCAATTCTCCGGTTTTCGGATCGGCTTTCTGGTTCTGCACGCGGCTCTTGACGACGTCGAATGGATTCGAGAAGATGTTGGCGATGAAGGACGAGACGAGGGTCGCGACGAAGAGGAGGGGGAAGCCCCCGAACATGAGGTTTCCCTCGGTGCCAAAGATCCCGGTGGCGATCAGCTTGAGCTTGATCTCGGAGGAGCACGCCAGGACGCAGGCCGACAAGACCATGGCCCTCATGACGGTGACCGTTCCACCGGTCCATAGCTTGGTGACTCCCTCCTCGGTGGCGATGCGCCGGACGCAGTCCACCACGCCGTTGTAGTTTCTCCGCTGCTTCTCGGGGAGCTTGCTGTCGTTGGACATTCTCACCAGCGACAGCTCGGAGGGGGTTCCCACGAAGCTACCGATTCCCCCGCTGGTCATTCCCATCAGGAGCTTGGTGCCGAAGGCGATCTGGTTCTTGGGCAGGCCGGCGTCGAGGTTTTTCGTCTGCGCCTGCTCCAGCAAAAAGGCGTAGATCCCGATGCGGCAGCTCCCGTAGAGCCACTGCCTCAGGTACGCGGCGGAGATCCCGGCGTACAGGCCCTTCTTGATTCCGTTGCGGGCGACGATCTGGGAGCCGCAGTCGATGGTTCCCTTGTAGTCGGACCCCTCGGTTTGCATCTGGACGCGGATGACGTCGAGGGGGTGGCAGATGGTGGCGGCCCCCATTCCGGCAAAGGCCGCGATCACCATTTTCTGTACCAAGGCACCGGCTGCGACGACCATTTTGTTTGCGTGTTTTGTCTTTTGTTTTGTGTTCTCGTGAAATACGGTGGTTCCCGGTGTTGTTGGGACCTGGTTGGTTTGGTTTGGTTTGGTTTGGTTTGGCTGTTTGAGGACAATCCGGTAATAAAGTGAGGGGATCGGTCTGGTGTCGGTTGACATCGGAGAACGTTTTTTCGGTTGTGTTTTCCAAAAAGAAGGGTCGAAAACGTACGGACGTGGTCCATCGCTCCGTTTCGTTGTGGTTGTCACCGATCCAAGATTTCGGCGCTCTGCCGGAAGATCGCAMTTTTTAGTCCGACGAGTCAATCCATGGAATGTGGAAAAACGAAAAACGCCCAACGGGTTTTTTTCCGAGGCATCTACCGTATCGGCATCAAAAATCAAAAACCAGGGTGTCGGTGCATCCACGATTGAATTGAACTGGCGGCTCCCAGCCATCATGGCGCATTCGGCGTACGAAGTTGTTTTCGCTGTGGGAATCGAACGATTGATTGATTCTTTCTCTCTTCGCATCATCCATTCTTCAGCGTGCACGGTACCGTACGATACGGTACGTACGAGCACCTACGAGTGACGGTAATTGATAGTACGCCTAACAGCTTGGGCGAGAGGCGTCGCGAAACCCGGACACCTTTCTCTTGACATCTCGAACGAAACGATGGTACGGTACCGTACATTGCATTTCATGCACAGCACGGTACGATACGGTATGGTACCGCATTGCTTGACACGACCAGATCAGATATGAAACGATCTTATCTTACAGACCGTGCTTGTTGACAGCTCATCTCGTCATAAGCATCGGCATCAATCCTTGATCTGCGGTGCTGTCACGATCGATCGAGGCAGCGTCACATTTTTTTACCACCAAGCCGCAACACAAACCCAGAGTGCCTCGMRTAGAAGAACACTACACTCCAATCCAATCGCCACAACCGACGCCCAAAGCTCATAAATATCGTTGCGACGCATACGGTGCAACAACAACAACAACAACAACAACAAGAATCTTTCTAGAGTGACATCTGTCTGTCTGCACCCATCACGATGCCCTCCTCCCTTCGCATTGTCGCGAGGGCCGTTCTGCGACGCCGGAGTCACGCCGCTGCAACCACGCACCGGATCGCGACGATCCGTGCCCCCCGGCGAGGCTCTCCGCACCCTCGTCTTCCTTCCCGATGGCACCCAGGCCCGGCCGCCAGGTTCCTCTCCGATGCGGCCAAGGAACGCGCCACCGAGGGCCTGGTTCCCGGGGTCCCCCTCCACCAGTCGTCGTACGGATCCCTGGGAGACGCCACCAACGTGTTCGGAAGAAGCACCCTCCACGGAAGCCAAAGCCGCACCGAGAAGATCAACATCAACCACAACATTAACAACAACCACCACAACATTAACAACCACAACCACACGGCCCCCGCCTCGTGGCAGGCCAAGGACGACGCCGACGTCCAGCGCGTCACGTCCCAGGCACTGATCTACGAGCTGACCCGCACCACCACAAACACCATCGAGCGGGTGGTCCCCTGGTTCCTCAAGACCATGCCCGAGTCCTACTTTCGGCAGATCCCGCCCTACCTGCGGCGGGACCACGTCAAGGCCCTGGCGGCGGTCGTCGACGCCGACATGGACCTCTACCTCAACCTCAAGAGCAAAACAACCGACGGAAGGACCGTCTACACCTTTGTCCGGCCGACCACCGAGCCGGGGACCCTCCTGGGAATGGTCGAGGAGCTGCCCCGGTGCGATCCCGATGCGCCCTCCCTGACGCGCCTCCACGTCTTTAGCGCGGCAGACGACTCCTTTTCCCTCAACATGTTTATCATGGGAGAAACCACCGCGAAAACGAAYCCCCCCGGGGGGCAGCCGCAACCGCAGGCACCCGGGCCCCACCGAACAGCCATCCTGGACTTTGCGGCCAGGGTGCGGGAGGGCCTCTGCCTGGAGGAACACCCCGACCTGGATCCATCGGAACCCTCCTTCGAGCCGAAGAACCTCGAGGCCTACCTCGACGGGTGCCGGGACAACTACCTGAGGATCATCAGCGAGCACCCCGAGCGCTTTCTGAAGCAGCGGCTCCTCTTTGGGTCGGTCAGCGGAACGGAGGGCTGCGAGGCCCGCATCGAGCCCGCCGTGCACGAGTCCTCCCCGCTCGGCAAAGAAAGCAAGCAGTACTGGCTGGACGTGGCCATGGCCAACTGGCTGCCGCGGGTCGCGCTGGAGCAGACCTGCCGGTTGCTCTACGTCCAGGGATTCGACGTCGGCCGGGCGCGGCTGGACGTGATCCCGGACGGAGAAAACGGCAGCGTCACCATGCTAAGGCTGCTGATCCACCCCGTCGGGGAATACCAAGAAACCAGCGACAGCGGCGATGGGAATGGCGACAGCGGCGACGGGACCCGCACCGACCACGCCGCCAGGTTCGAGCGCCTCCGGTACAACCTCAAGCGGTCCAAGTGGCTGGACGACACCACGCAGAAACTCGTCTTCGAGGACGAGCCGTGGCTGGGCGTCCGGCGGGGAGAAATCCTCACCGCGATGTGCCACCTTCTCCACCCGATGCTGTCCGGCAGCGGGGACCCCGACCACGGCAGCTTTTATTCCAAGCACAACATCCTGGTAAGCCTTGCGGTGGCAGCGGGCCCGCCACGAGCAAGATGCGTCGCGTTCGTGGTCGAATTTGCCTTCGACAAGCGATCTCTTGGTTTTCTTTCGTCTCACCGTTCGTTCTTCTGTACAAAACCTTTCATCGCAGCAAACCGTGACAGATCGCCGCTTCATCGGWTACGCRGCCAAAATCGCCGACCTCTTTTTGCAACGCTTCGATCCGAAAGACCCCTTGAGCGACGAGGCCTTGTTTCAAAACAGCCTCGATGGCATTCGCACGGACATTGCTTCGGATGTCCAAGAAACCTACGTCAAGGAGCTCTTGACCAAAATGACGGAAATAGTCGAAAAGACGCTCAAAACCAACATTTACATGAAAGACCGATACGCCCTGTCGATGAGGCTGGATCCATCGATCATGGGCGTTGGGTCGGTAGAGGATTCCACTCTGCCCTACGGGGTTTTGTTCATCCACGGCAGACGCTTCAACGGCTACCACACGCGTTTCCGTGATATTTCTCGGGGGGGACTAAGGTTGGTGGCCCCCGCGAGCTCGGAACAGCTGGCGCTGGAATCGGCCCGGCAGTACGACGAGTGCTACGGGCTGGCCTTTGCGCAGCAGCTCAAGAACAAGGACATTCCCGAGGGGGGCAGCAAGGCCGTTTGCTTGATTGACACGAACGACATACTGAACGGAACAAGGGACTACGTCCTCCGAAAATCGGTCAAGGCCATGGCGGACAGCATTCTTGACCTGGTCGTGGACACGGAAGAAACCCGGGAGAACATCGTGGATTACTTTGGCAAGCGAGAAGTCTTGTACCTCGGTCCAGACGAAAACGTGACGCCCGAGGACATCAACTGGATCATCCAGCGAGCAGGTAGGCGGGGATACGATACCCCCGCTGCTTTCATGAGCAGCAAACCGAGGGCAGGAATCAACCACAAGGAATACGGTGTCACGAGCGAGGGAGTCAACGTGTTTTTGGACGTTGCTTTGCAGCGCGCCCTGGGAATCGATCCCAGAAAGGAGAGCTTTACGGTGAAAATGACGGGCGGTCCGGATGGAGACGTCGGGGGAAACGAAATCAACATCCTGATCCGCGAATACGGCGACAATGTCAAAATCGTTGGGATTGCGGACCACTCGGGATGTGCCGAAGACCCCGATGGATTGAACCACGAAGAGTTGTTGCGACTCTTTCGTCAAGAACTGAGCATCGGCAGTTTCGATGCTTCGCGACTCGGCCCGGGCGGTGTGCTGCACACCTGTGACACAGAAGAGGGAACCAAGGCCCGCAATACCATGCACAACCGGTTGGTAGCAGACGCCTTTGTCCCGTGCGGGGGACGGCCGAACACGATCGATACCAATAATTACAAGCAGTTTCTTCTCGGAGACGGAACCCCAAGCTCGAGGCTCATCGTGGAGGGAGCCAATCTATTCGTGAATTCCGAAGCCCGCCAAAAACTGTACGAAGATGCCGGAGTCATGATTGTCAAGGACTCGTCTGCGAACAAGGGCGGGGTCATCACGTCTTCTTACGAGATCTGCGCAGCGATGCTGGCAAGCGAAGACGAGTTCTTCGAAAACAAGGAGGCCATCGTGGCCGAGGTCCTCGCAAAGCTACGGGGATACGCCAAAATGGAGGCCGAGCTGCTTTTTCGAGAGGCCGAAATCTACGGCGAGTCTCTGCCCGAAGTCAGTCAGATCATCAGCAATGCCATCAATTCCGCCACGGATGCGTTGTCGGGGGCACTGGATTCTCTTTCTCCCGAAGACCAGGAGCAGCTGGTCCCTCTCTTCCGAGGTCACTTGCCCGAAACTCTGGCCGACCTGGGCTTCGATAAGGTTCACGAAAAAGTCCCGAGCCAATACATCAAGAATGCGATTGCTTCCACGCTGGCTTCCAAAATGGTGTACAAGGAGGGGACACGATTCATAAACGCGCTGCCCCAGGCTAGACTGGCAGAAACCGCGTTGCGTTACATTCAGCAAGAAAAAGAGGTGTTGAAGCTGATCGAGACACTCGAAAAGACGGAAATGTCTGCAGAAGAAARGAACAAGATACTCMAGCTCCTGGATGCGGGAGGGGCTCGAACCGCTTTGAGCCTAAAGGACGTGTAACAGAACCTGTCTACCCGGCACGAAACGACAGGATGTAGGCGATGCAAAGTGGCACGGCCGAGAATATCGAACCTTCAAAAATCATAGATGTATCACAWAATACAAAATTAGAACATATCAAATACAATCTATTTCTAGGTTTGAAATGATTTCGGTATTGCWCCGTAGGCTCCCTCAACGAATCWTTCTATTTTCGCAGACGGATTCCAGCGGCAGCAAGCAACGCGGCTCCGTAGCTTGCTTCGGAGTTTTCGGCTTTTTTGACGGCTACCATGCTGCCACCGCTGTCAACGCCATCGTTCATTATCCGTTCCCTCAGCGAGGTCCAAACCGGGTTTTTCGATCCACCGCCGGCGGTCGTGATGACTGTAGGAAAGGGCGGGGAAGCGCCCAAATCCCGCAAGACTTCGTATCCTTTRCGTTCGACCTCGGTGGTAATGCTCTGAAACAAACCCTTCAGGTACTCSGTCCTGGAATCGCYAGAAGTGTCTGCGGGAATCGGTTCCAAGACCGATTTCTTGGTGGCATCTGCCGTAGGAAATCGTTCTCCGACTTTCCCGGGCAGCAATGGGTAGTACTTGTACCGCAGATACGCCTCGGAATCCGTAGAAGGATCGATGTCCGCGCTCCGGCTTTTCAGTTCGTCGTCGGTGAAATCCAGAGCCCGGAAGACCGCACAACCAACGTTGCTAGCCCCGCCCACAAGCCACGCTTCTTCGTGTTGGCCTTGGTCGAGATCGGCCTGGTTGCCGGCCTCGTTTGCGGTCGTGGTCGAGAAAATTTCCCTCGCCGGAAACCGATGGCTGTACACACCCAGGGTAGAGTCTTCCACGTAGGTCTTTGACAGGAACTTGATGGCCGTCGTGCTTCCGAGGCTGGTAACGGCGGTCCCATAAGGTATCGTGATGCCGTCGTCGATGCCGCTGCCGGAGCAAGATATAGACCCGGATGCCGCAGCCGCATAGAATGCCGCATTCGAATCGGTCGTTCCACCAACTATTGTCACGTCCCTGGACAATCCCAGTTCGTCCGCTGCTGTTTCGCTAATGCATCCCAGCGGTGCTCCGGGGGAAACAACTTTGGTCGGTAAAATCCYTAGCAYACGATCTTCCTCGCTGTTATCTCCAGTCGTCTCGATRCCATCCCCGGAAATCACCATTGCATCCTTCAAGCACGATTCCATCCAATCTTCCAACGGCCAGCACAGGTTTCGCACATCGTATCCAAGTTTGAGGCAGTTCTGCCAGTCACTCTGTGGCTGAATCTGCGTTGTTCTCTTTGYGTTGAACATCAATTTTGTGGAGATGTAATCGGATTGGTGACACAAAACCTCGCTCCGTTTCAGGGGCGATTGCAATATCCACTTTACGAGCTTTGCAAAGGACCCGGTGCTGGATCGTGCGGTGTGCTTCGGAGGGAGATGTTTTTCCAACAATTCCACAGCCCGCACTCCGCTCGTATCGTCCATGGAGGACGACGATGTGACAACGTCATAGTTGTACATTCGTGGATTCCTTGTCACTTCCAGTGTGTTTCGATCCACCATCAGGCAACTGGCGGATGTGCCCGAAACACAAATGCTCGCAATGGAATCCACCAAAGAAGACGAAGTCGATGCACAGCCCTTCAAGAGGGCATCGATGGCAATCCACCAGGATCCGGGATCGTCGTACCGGCCTTCCTCGACATCGGCGCCATTTGCTTTTCCGCATTCCTTCCACGTCACAGAGTCGTTGTAGACTTCGCAWAAACCACCGGTAGGCGATGCCTCGATGATCGACACCCTGCACCCAGAAGTCCCGAGATCAAATCCGGCAAACAATCGTCGCTGCTGCTGTGTTTCTCCACCGTCGTCCGCACTATTCGTCATCCCCAATGGATTGCGGTTTCTCCCTGTCGTTCGAACTGTATCCTTTGACGAAATCGAAAACGACTCGGATGGTGAAAGGAAGAGGAGAAGGGGCAACAGCAGTACTGATACGGATGATTTGGACCGAAGCTTGCGTGTCATTATCCTTGTCCACGTGAAACAATGAGATCCGCGTGGGGGTGATCTGAGGCTCTGTTTGGATCACCGTAGTGATCGTATTACTCGGAAAACAGCTGAAGAAAAAGTATAGGAGTCGTGATGATTGTTCATCGGATGCAGTAAGTATTTTCAAGTTATCCTTCCGTGCGATACCGTACTGTACACGAGTGTTTTTTGAGATTTTCCTCTTGCGACTGACGACGATTACGATGAGAGCATTGTGTAGATCTTCAGTTACAGTATTTCCTAGCGTGCATGCGTACCCTACCCGTACGTACTGTACTATGTTTATGAGTGCATAACTCGTACGGCACCGCACGGTTTACGAGTAAGCTCCGGTAAAACTGCCGTACGGTACGTGCTTTGGGTTCGATGTATTCGAGTGTGTCAAATATACGATTTTCAAGCTACGTACCGACCCAGGTATCAAAGGTACGGTAGTATAGTAAACGACACGAAACGAACCAAGGAATGATTATCGCAGGATGATCTGAAACCCCAGCACAAAATGCTTCCCCCGGTACGTAGCACCGTACGTACCGTACAAAAGAACGCAATGTGCGAAAAGTCGATCGTGCCTTATTGCACCTATTTTGGAAAGAACAACACCCAATAGCATGGCATCACCGTGGTTAAAAGACTATTTCTTGGACCAACTCTCATCCAAAATCGGCAAGATACACTCGCAGCACTCGTCCCCTACTGCTGACCATTCGGCGACGAAYACGGCTTCGGCGGAGCCCAGAAGAATCCACCACTCGCGGCTCGTGAAAATACTGGCTCGTGGACAGGGGGAACGGCTGGCTTGCGGGGATTGGTCCGGAAACGGCTGGTGGAACGTTCGCCAACGGGGAAGCACGCCAAATCTTGCGAACCACACGAACGCCTGGTTGTTGATCTCGGATGGGTCTCACAGCGCGAGGGTCTATCTGACCATCGGGGCACTGAAACAAATATTCGATTGGGACAACAAGAACAACAACGACGACGGTCTTTTCGGGCGCGGGTGCTGTGTTTTGCTGAAGCAATACTACCTGGAAAGCGCTAGTCTCGGCAACAACGATGAAGGCGATGGCGACAACTTAGAGGAAAGGAACGATTTGTTGCTGTTTAAGGTGTCGTCGCTAGAGCCGAAGCCTGGTTTCAATCACCATGCAAACAGCAACGATTCTTTCAACAGCAGCGCGAGTATCTCCCCGGTAATGAAGGAAATTGATCTATTGTACGGCTTGCAATTTCTAGCTCGAGAGAGGCAGCTAGACAAAACGCWCACATCAAGTACGTGTGGAGAAACAAATGGCTCTCCAAATGGCACGACCAACCCGAAGAGTGTCGTCCGAGACTGGGATGTTGCATTTGGCCGTCTCAGCAAAGGAATCTTGTCGACATCGACGCTTCCGGGCGGTGCTGCCGTTACAGACGAAAACAGCATCCTGAATTTGGCAGAAAAAGCTTCGTCGACGGAGGAAGCGATCAGGGAGTGGGAAAATAAAAAGAAAGAGTACGGGATCACAGGTGCCGATGACAATTTTAACATTGGACGCAACAGTAGCGATCATCAGAATGACAGAGCGCAAACTAAAACAAATGCAGATTCTCAAGAGGAGACACACACCAAAGATAGCGAAGCAAGTGATGAAGACGAAGATGAAGAAGATGATTCTCGTCTGTTCATCCAGAATGTTCTTGCGACCCAGGAGGAAGAAGAAACGGGAGAGGGTGGTGGAGGCGAAAGTAACATGCCCCTGTCGACGCAAACAGAAAATGACGATAATGAGGAGGAGAACCAAAGCTCTACCAGCGAAGAGCTATTGCTCCCTGAGACACAACCAACAGCAGCGGCTTTGGAGAAAAGAAATGAACTAAACGGACAGCCAAACAGCGAAAAAGAATTGGAGGAGGGCCTGGATGCAACGAGGATAAATGCAAAACAGAAACGCAATCGAACGAGTGACGACCAGAGTGTTTCTGTTTCTTCGAGACGCTTGGCGATGTACGATTCCATTGGCACCACCAGGCATGGGCCCAGAAGCCCGAGGCGCCGAAGAGGAAATAGACAGAATCAAAATCAATCCCGAAAGAGAAGCAAGGGTATTTGGGATTCCGTCAAAACGCAGCTTTTCGATCCGGACCGTGCCATAGTGTATTGTGTGCCATCCTTTCAGTTGACCCAAGGCAGCCACGGAAGTGGGGACGACCACACGTACTCTACACCCATGAAGCGTTCGGCGAGGGGGCCCGGTGATCATCTTGTTTCCGGGAGTGACCGTTCGGGCAAAACGAACCTTACCGATCGATCGACTCCCAACCCATCATCAGGCGCATACTACAGAAAGTACGGGCTTTCACGGTGGTTGAGTCGGAATACAATTGCTGTGGAGTCCGACAGTAACTCTCACAACAAGTCCAATTCAGCAGCGAGTAGTGGTGACGAACGAGACTACGCTTGGAAGTAGTGAAACATATTGGCTCCATATGCCACACTTGCAATCCCAAATGATGGTACTAATTTTTTTGAATAAGGTCGATTTTTTCGTGCAATACAGAAATTACAACAAAGTGGTATTTTTACTTGTTTTTTAATGTGCAAAATCGATGATCTAATCTTTTCATGACAGAATGGCACTCAAATACGAGCTATGGAAGTGCCATGCATGGTATGCCATGATTTTCCCTGTGTGAGCACCACAAAGGTGCGCTGTGTAGCTGCACCGCAAACCCGTTTAGTTGGATCCGGCCAATTCAGGAACAGATGCCTTGGGGACAATTTCCTCAGGCATCTGACTGGAGTGGTGGTGGGCAATCTTCCATTCACCATCCTCGAATGTGTAGACGAAGGAGTATCGGGCCTTGACCTTATCGCCGGTGGCTCCCATGGTGAATTCATAGATACCGTCATCCATAGCCCAGTTGTGTCCAACAGTGACGTACGATTCGAGGATCTCTCCCTGGGGCTTCTTCTTGCAGAAATCAACGAAGTAAGCCTTGATGGAGTCGTAGTCGGTACGGGGAACATCCGAAACAGTTGGCAACAAGCAAGGGGCAGTCTTGGAAGAGTATCGGGCGGCAACTTGGTCGGGGTCCAAGGTAGCCAAGGCACTGTTCCACTTGTAGAAAAGTCCCTGGACTTCTTCCTTGGTGATGGCGGCAGGAGCGGCAGGGATGGCCTCAGGCATCTGACTGGAGTGGTGGTGGGCAATCTTCCACTGGCCGTCTTCGTACACGTAAACGAAGGAGTATCGGGCCTTGACCTTGTCACCGGTGGCGCCCAAAGTGAACTCGTAGATACCGACATCCTGGCACCAGTTGGTTCCGATGGTGACGAAGGATTCGAGGATTTCTCCCTGAGGCTGCTTCAACAAAAAGCTGTCGAAGTAGTCGGTGATCTTGGCGGCGTTGTCTCGAGGGATGTCGGAGACGGTGGGCAACAAAACACCGTTCTTGGCGTATCGGGATGCAACCAAGGACGAATCACCGGTGGCCAAAGCGTCGTTCCACAAGTGGAAGAGGTTCTGAACTTCTTCCTTCTTGATGGGGGTGGCGATGTCGATGCCCTCAGGCATGACACTGGAGTGGTGGTGGGAGATCTTCCACTGACCGTTCTCGTAAACGTAGACGTAAGAGTATCGGGCCTTGACCTTGTCACCGGTGGCTCCCATGGTGAACTCGTAGATTCTTCAGTGTAGGAAAACCAAACAGGAATTGGCGAAAAAATTAGATAAATCGACAACACGAAGGGTTTGACAACTCTCATATTTCAAACGACTTACCCGGCATCTTGAGCCCAGTTTTCACCGATGCGGATGTCACCGGAAAGGATTTCTCCTTGAGGTTCCTTCAAGAGAAAGGCGTCGAAGTAGTCCTTGATACTGGCGAAATCGGTACGGGGGACATCGGAGACAGTGGGGAGAAGGACAGCGCCGGACTTGGTGGCGTAACGGCTGGCAACCAAGCGAGAGTCACCGGTGGCCAAGGCGTTGTTCCAGAGGGAGAACAAAGCACGAACCTCGTCCTTGGTGATGTCGGCTCCGGCAGTGGATTTGGCGATCTTGCTCTTGCGAGAGAAGAAACTGCGGAGTCCCATGTTCAACTCGGTGGCCGAAGTAGGGGCAGCGACATCGGCGCTGGACATTCGGGAAACGACGGGAGTCGCAGGAGCGAATGCGGAGACACCAGAGGTGGCTGCAACAGCAGCAATGGCAAAGAGAGCAGAGTTGGTGAACTTCATTGTTGATTTGTCTAAGAACCGTTGTCTTTTGGATTGCTGTTGGTTTCAGTTAATGACCAGAACGTGTCGAGAAGATATTACAATTCAAAAACAAGACGGTGAGCGGCTTTCGACCGTGATTTTTCGTACGAACCCCAATTCTCCGTGAAGTTGTCTCTGCGTACGAGTACGAAATCACAAGTTGATGTCGTCGACGGTTCTAAACGGTTCTGGGAGAAAAAACCTCATGTCATTTACTACTAAAACTTGTATCTTAAATTCTCCACGACAACAAAATGTAGCACTGTGGGAAGGACTGACGTATGTCCATGACCACAACATCACATCATTCATGAATGTGACGCAAAGCATATTTTTTCATTGGTCAGAATGAGGATCACTTTAGAACGATTACAATCATTCATGAGTGTGACGTAACAAGCCAATTCTGATTGGTTAGAACGAAGATTGTTTAACAATGTTCTCGCTTCCCATACGGTATTCAGCACCCTATGACGTACGCTCAGAAAGTTAGTCAGGCCAAAGGCCCAAAAAACTTTTAAATCAGTCCCGTATCGTACAGTTCGAAATACCGTTCATACCGCCAGACGTGAAGAGCCTTTTTCATTCGTCAATTTTAATTTTAACCTTAAAATAGCGTTCTTGTGTCTTTGGGATCCTGTTGGTGTCAAAAAGAAGATACATACGGTATGTACGAGGTGCGAACGTACCGTACGTACAGAGGTCATAATTTGGACCCCTGCGCTGCGTAGGTACTGACCCCTGCGTAGGTACGCGTACGTGTATACGTACTGATAGAATAGGACTGAATTCGTCGCGTTTTAATTCTGGTAGTGTGTGCGAAATGTACGGATACTCTTTAGTGTGGTATAATACKGTTATTACAATAAAGAGTGGGAGTGAGTGGTTGAGATTGCTGCTCACTCACTATCTACTCGTGATTTACGTGGTTTACTACGTGGTACTGCCTCACACCACCCCGCACTTGCAGAATCTAGGGACTCACTCGATTCAAATTTACTCTTAAGTAGTAAATTTTGAAGAGGGTCTAGATTCCTGCAAGTGGAGCAGAATGACATTGTGTTGATTGTCGTGTCCGCTGTTGTGGTTGGGATAGTGGTGGCTTTATCCTCAACAACTGAGGTGTGTTGGGTGGTTAACAAGGGGGAGTATGTGTAGTCTGGTCGTAGGCGTCCCATGAATATATCTGAATGTTGCAGGAACTTGGTCCGTCCAGTTGGTTTGCTCAGTGAATCACTGTAATTTTGTTCATCGGATCGTGTTTCAATGAAGTTAATGTGCTCATCATCTGTCCATTGTAGTAGTATAACAAAGTGTTTCATCTCTACATGTCTTGTTCTCCTAGTTGGTTGATGGGCATTTGCCATTCGTACTGCACCATGGTTGTCAGCTATAATTGGTGTTGATTTTGTTTGCGGAATCCGTAGTTCTTCCATGATCCATCTTAAATATAAAGCAGCCTTTCCAGCATCTGCCATGTTAGTGAATTCTGCTTCTGTGGAGCTTTGGGCTATAGTTGGTTGCAGTCTGGTTCTATAATAAACTGCAGCACCTGCCAGCATCATTATGATTCCCCCCATACTCCTCCGTTGAAGTCGATCAGAGGCCCAAGTTGTGTCACATGAGCCGTGTATTTGTAGAGGATCCATGGTCTGGTAGAATTTAGATAGGATGTTGGCGTTCGTATATGGTGTTGGTAGGGGCATATCTGGGAGGTCCATTCGCGGTTCGGGGCGCCAGTATGTGAGTCCGTCCTCCTTGGTAATCAGTAGGTAGAGGAATAGCTGCTTTATTGCCTCAAAGTGTATTTTGGCAGGTGAGTGTGAGTGTTGACTAAGCGTGATAACAGCAAGAGAAATGTCAACGCGGTGCTTGATTGCGTCAGCTGTTTTGTTCAAGATGGCGTTGTTTTGTTTGAAGAGTTCAA